GTTAAAAATATGTTAGCTTGTTTAACATATAATTGTGGAATGATGAAGTACCAGGCAAAAATCAACTTTAATTAATAGAAATGTTATCTACTAACAGTTACTTTTAAGAGTGAACTTACATTCCTTTGCACATAAAACTATTAAAGCTACAATAGCGATTATAGTTTGTACCCCGAGGTCAACATTTTCAAATCTGGGTGCCTAAGGTTAGATTCCTACATGCATACTTAGGCACCTAAATAAAAATGTACCTTCAGCTCCCCTTGGCTTCAGTAATAACTGTGACACTCAGACGTTAAGGCTTATGGACTGCATTGATCTGGCCTTGATAGCAATGTACCTGCCATAAACCTATTCTAATTCTTTCGTGCAAAAATATGTGGAGGGAAGTGGCGAGCATCTCATGCAACTTGTCTACCGCGTGCCTGGAAATAAAGCGCTGCAGCGGGACTGGGATCCCCCAGGACCTGCTGTCATAATAGCATGAGTGGGATAAAAATGCAACAAACAATGTGGGAGTGGGTGAGAGTGGGTATTGCATGGCGGAATGGGAGTGGCATTAAAAAAAACTACCCCGTGCTGGGCTCTACCTGGAAGTATAAAATTAAAAACAACGTAGGATGTTACAATTTAAGAGCTATTTAAGGGTTAACAGAGGTGGATAAAGGAAAGGAGACTCAGTGATAGGCTTTTATAAGAGCAATGAAACTTGAGTTGTCCTGACAGAATTGGTATAATTAAGGGTAGAAATGATGCCAGCAGTTATTGTGATCTATTATAGTGCACAGCTATGAAGGCAGAAGCATTTATTAGACTGGGTTGTTATATTTAATTGTCAAACATCCAGGTTGCACTTACTTCCATGCAAAACAAAATCTTCCCTAGGAGACTTCAGAAGAGTAAGAGCATACTTGTCTAACAATCACCTTCTAAGGATAATGCCGTCTAACCACAGAACTGGAGAGAACATCTCTGATGTGTTTGCATTGTGTATTGCACCACAGCTACATCTGCTGGCAGGAGATAAAATAAGCACACTTAAAATGACATTTCACAAACATTTTAGTTTTACTTGCTGGGATTCTTTTTGAATGTTTACACAAAAAGACATTTCACAGACATTGACCTTTAGTATTTTTGTGTTTTCTAGTGATTTATTTTATCAAGTATTGTAGTAATGGTAGGATAGTACTAGTATTGACAAGTGGTCTGTATTCCTTGAATAACTGCCAAAGAAACTTGATAGTCACTTTCAGCATCTTTGCTAGTTCAGTACTGTTTCTTCTGAACATGTTGCCAGATGTATTGAATTGTGTGATGGGTGCAGGTGTCTGTTATGGTCAGGTTTATGATCATTTAATGCATTCATCACCTACAGAAAGTCAGAATTTAAATGAATGAAAAATCTAGCACATTTACTTCTAATGCATTTTATACTATAACTTTTCCAATAATTTGTTTTCATTAATGTGTTCATGTGGTTCAGAAGCAGCTGCAAAGCATTTGTGGTGATGTTTCTTCACTGGCTTCAAAACAATTAAAGCCAGCACCTATTCTGGATGTTATATCCTTAAGCCTCC